AATTGAGTTCAATGATGTTGACAGATCTAATGATCAATGATTGTTTATTCCTGGTATTTTGGTGTTTGAGGCGGTAGTGTGTGTGTGTTTGTGTTTGTGTGTGTGTGTGTGTGTATGTGTGTGTGTATACATGTTCCCTTCTTTTAATTTTGCTGGTGTGGGGTTATTTATTTTGTCTCTGGTTTGGGGTGCTGTTAGCCTCCTTGGCTTGGTGTTTTCCTTCTACTATCTTCTGTAGGACTGGATTTGTGGATAAATATTGTTTATATTTGGGTTTGTTGTGGAATATCTTGGTTTCTTCACCTATGGTGATTAAACCACTCTGGATATCAGTCTGGCGGCTCCTCAGAAAATTGGACATACCATTACCTGAGGACCCAGCTATACCACTCCTGGGCATATACCCAGAAGATGCTCCAACATACAACAAGGACATATGCTCCACTATGTTCATATCAGCCTTATTTATAATAGTCAGAAGCTGGAAAGAACCCAGAGGTCCTTCAACAGAGGAATGGACACAAAAAAAATGTGGTACATTTATACAATGGAGTATTACTCAGCTATTAAAAATAATGAATTCAAGAAATTCTTAGGTAAATGGATGGAACTAGAAAATATCCTGAGTGAGGTAACCCAATCACAAAAGAACACACATAGTATTCACTCACTGATAATTAGATATTAGCCCAGAAGCTCACAGTACCCAAGATGCAACTCACAGACCACATGAAGCTCATGAAGAAGGAAGACCAAATGTGAGTGCTTCTGTCCTTCTTAGGAGTAACAAATACTCAAGGGAGCAAATATGGAGACAAAATGTGGGACAGAAACTGAAGGAGGGGCCATCTGGAGACTGTCCCACCTGGGTATCCATCCCATGTGCAGTCATCAAAGGTAGATGCTGATGTGGATGTCAGGAAGTGCATGCTGACAGGAGCCTGATATAGATGACTCCTTAGAAGTCTGCCAGAGTCTGACATATTCAGAGGCAGGCACTCACAGCTAACCATTGAACTGATCAAGAGGTTCCCAATGGAGGAGTTAGGGAGAAGGAGCTGAAGGAGCTGAAAGGGTTTGTGGCCTCATGAGTAGAGCAACAATACCAATCAGTCAGAGCTCCCAGGGTCTAAACCACCAGCCTGGAAGCAAGTAGGGAGGGACTCATGGCTCCAGCTGTATATATAGTGGAGGATGGCCTTGTTGGGCTTAGATGAGAGAGGAGATCCTTGGTCCTGAGAAGGCTGGATGCCCCAGTGTGGGGGAATTCCAAGGTGGGGAGGTTAGAGTGGGTGGGTGGGTGGGGGCATACCCAAATAGAAGCAGGAGGAGGGGGGATAGGATAGGGGGTTCCTGGGTGGGGATGGGGGTAGAAATAGGGTAAGGGGATAACATCTGAAATGTAAATAAAATATCCAATAAAAAAAGGAAAAACAAACCAATTTATATTTTCCTTTCATGGCTATACTTTTAGAGTGATCATATTTGAGAAATCTGTGCCTAATTTAAGATTCCTAAATATTTATAGATTTTGTATTATTTTGTTTTAAGGTAAGAATCTCACATAGTCTAGGCTGACTTCAAATTTTTAATGTAGCCATGGTTATTCTGGAACACCCAACCAATCCTTCTGCCTCTACCTCCCATGTCCTGGAGTTATGGATGTATATCACTGTACCTGGTGTGGTAGTTTGAAGGAGCAATATCCCTGTAAGTGCTGGTATGTGAAGAGCTGGTACCCAAGTTATTGGTGCTGTTTGGAAGGTTGCTGAACCTTTGGGAGGTGGAGCCTGCTGGAAGCCATATATCACTGGGGTGAGCATTGAGTGTTTATAGTCCTGACCTATTTCCTGTTCTTGCTGTGTTGCATCCTTGTTTCATAGATGTTAGTTCACAGCTTCCTGTTTTCTCTGCCCTGCCTTCCTGCAGGCTCATCTTTCTGATGAACTCTTTCTTCTATCAGTAGCTTTTGGTTGTGGTTGTTTATTACAGCAACAGAGAAGTGAATCTATCTGGCTTCTCCAGAGTTTTATGCTGGAATTCTATATGTACAGTCTTTGTGAGAAGGCTTCTGAGGAATTCTGAGGTGGGCACATGACATGAATTATAGGCCAGTGTTGATGATCTCTGTTGGGGTATTCAACTGTGCCAATACTATTGCTATAGACCACATTATCTCTTTTTAATTGCTTAGACCATACACATAAGTTTTTTTTCTTGTTTGTTTGGTTTTGTTGTTGTTGTTTTTTTGTTTTTGTTTTTTTCCAAAACAGGGCTTCTTTGTGTATCCCAGCCTGTCCTGGACTTGTTTTGTAGACCAGGCTGGTCTTGAACTCATAGAGATCCACATGCCTCTGCCTCCTGAGTGCTACGATCAAAGGCATGCGCCACCACTGCCTAGCTTAGCATAACATTTTTAAAAAGCTTATTCCTGTCCATTTTGTGCTTGTCCTATGTCAATACTTCACTGTCTTGATGACTGTAGATTTAAGTTTCGAGATCAGAGATTATTAACTATTTAAATTTGAATTTGTTCTTTTTCTACACTGGCTTGACCATGTTGTTTCCTGTGTCTTTCTCTTTGAATGGACCAATCTCTGAAGTTTTAGTCTTAAAAAGGGCTTTTGGTATTTTGATAGAAATTATATTACATGATGAGTCTGGGCAGAATTATCATATTGATAGCAGCTAGACTTCAAATTCATGGACATGGTTGGTCTCAGATTTTTAAATTTTTCTTGGTTATATTATATATTTTTCAGTTGCAAATCTTATACATTGTGTTTATTTTATTTAGGGGTTTTATTGGGATGAAGAATTGCTTCATTAATTTCAATTTTCACATTTTTGACATTCACTGATGAACAGTACAGTTTTTTAAATATATTAGCATATATTAGTGAAAATGTTTTTTGCTCTAGCATTTTCATGCTTCCTATGAGCACATTCTGTCATAATCTCCCTGTTATCCATACTCTTCCCCTTCTTTCATTTCTCTGATTTTTCACATTTGAGGGGAAACATGTGCTGTCTGTGCACTGGATTATTGTTTTAATGTGTTGACTTCTGATTGTATCTGCTTTCTGGAACATGATGTGATCTTATCCTTCCTCACTGAATTATGATTCCTTTATGCATACCTTCATACACTCTTCATCCATTTACCTGCTTTGAAGCACCCAAGTGGACCCCATAACTTGACTATTGTGATTAAAGCCATGGTAAACCTAGATCCACTGGTATTTCTAATGCACACTGACTGTGATTATCCTTTTTACAAAGGGTACTAATATCTGTGACTTTGTCAGGATCACTGTTTTAAAACTTTCTTTGGTGGATTCTATACTTGTATTTTTTTGTGTTTTATATTTCCATATTTTATTGACTAAAGATTTCATGAAAGTAAAAAAAGAAATAAAAAAAAAGTTTTGCTTGGTATAGTAGTCTGGGCTGACATCTCTGGTTTCTTAGGGTCTGCAAGATATCTGTCCAGGTCTTCCTGAGTTTTAGAATTTTTGTTGAGAATTTGGGTGCAATGCTGATAGGTTTGCCTTTATATGTTATTTGGCCTTTCCCCCTTGCGGTCTTTAATATTCTTTCTTTGTTCTGTACATTTAGTGTTTTGATTATTATGTGGCTGGAAGAATTTCTTTTCTGGCCTAATCTATTTGGTGCTTTGTAAGCTTCTTTTATGTTTATAGGTATCTGTTTCTTTAGGTTGGTGAAATTTTCTTCTATGACTTTGTTGAAAATATTTTCTGGGCCTAGGAGTTGAGAATCTTCTCTTGTCTTCTATTCTTATGTTTGGTCTTCTCATAGTGTTCCAGATTTCTTGGATATTTTGTATCAGGAATATTTTTAGATTTAACATTTTTTAAACTGTTGTATTGATATCTTCAGTCACATCTTCTATGCTTGAGACAGTCTCTCTTCCATCTTCTGTATTCTGTTAGTGACTCTATATCTGTAGTTCCTATTCTCTTACCTAGGTTTTCCATTTCTAGGATTCCCCAAGTTCATGTTTTCTTTATAGTGTCTATTTCCAGTTTCAGGTCTTGAACAGTTTTATGTATTTCCTTCCTAAGTTTGATTATATTTTCTTGTATTTCTTTTTTTTAAAACTTTCTTTCTTTCTTTCTTTCTTTCTTCCTTCCTTCCTTCCTTCCTTCCTTCCTTTCTTTCTTTCTTTCTTTCCTTCTTTCCTTCTCTCTTTCTCCCTCCCTCCCTCTTCCTCCTCTTCCTCCTCTTCCTCCTCTTCCTCCTCCTCCTTCCTTCCTCCC